CGGAGCAGGGAGCCCGATGCGGGGCTCTATCCCAGGACCCCGGGATCATGACCTGAGCCGAAGGTAGACGCCTAATGACTGAGCCACCCAGGTGCCCCTGTATATGGCATTCTTGAGTCCCAGAAGTATATTGGAACCTCTCAAAGCCCCTTATGGACAACCCATTCCCCAGGTTTTCCTTTTAAGCTTTTGGTCAGCTCTTCTTAGCCCCAGTTGGTATTGTTACCTCAGGCAGCCACAATGTTAAACAGTTCTCCCTTATTGTTTCTGACAAATGCCCTGGAGATAAGACAGAGGAAGCTTTGAGTCAGGTCAGATAAAGACGAGCCTCTAGAACAGAGCTTTCCGGCAAGCTGTCAGGTCAAATGGTGACAGTTCTCTGGGGATGGCACATGTGCAGACCTGTAAAGCCATCTGGCCCTTCTGGTGACTGTTAGACTGCTGGTTTTTACAGCTACCATAGTTGCAAGACTGTTGGTTTTCAAGGCTAGCAAGGAGCTACCTATAGTCCTGGAGGAGGAGGAGGATGGAATTAGTGCAAGTTAAAACAACAGGAAGTTTGTTGTTCTTACCAAGACTCGGCCGTTTTTCTTGAATAGATGCTCCTCAGAATGTTGAAAGCCTTAAGTTAACTGCCAGAGTCCTGAGAAAGTTGATTTTTGACAGTTTTTGGCAGTATTCTTGTTGCTTGTATGTAGGAGCAGATTTTTGGAGATCTTTACTCTGCCATCCTGAAAGTTAACTACCTATCAGTAGTTCATCAAACGAGGAACCCTGGTGTAATAAGAGTCTGCGGTGCACATGCTTTGTGCACTCTCACCTACTTTGCCTCATGTTCCCTTTCCTTGTCTGTATTCGGTGTCTTGAGGTTGCCCCAAGGGAGTGTTAAGGAGCACAGGTTACTGTAAACCAGTGGTCACGACTTTCACTTTATTAGGAATGAATCTTGACCTTTAGTTGGGCAGCAAGTATTGAACACTTAATCCCACATTACCAGAATGCGCTGCAGACCCAAGATCATGTTGATCTGCTGGATCTTTTTCTCCTCTTGCCAAAGTTGCACTCTAGCCAACTTTGTTCATTGTCCTGTGAGGAAGTAAATCCATCATCTCTCTAAGTTAGGCTTGGAGGACAAAATACTAATAGTGAAAGTGGCCATTTCCTCTGCATACTGTTGGGATTTGAAATTCTGTCCAGATACAACATTAATTTCTCTATATCAGATCTTACAGTCCTGGTGAACAGCTTGAGTTTTCTGTTAATTTTTTTAAAATCTATACATACAAAGTCAGTTTTTGTATGTGATATAAATTTAAATTTCTCATATGACCAGAAGTGTTGAGTTATGGATATTTATTTTGTTACAGCCTTTTATTTCAGAGACCATCAGTCTCCAGTTGTATAAGAATACAAGTGCCTGTTGGTGAAAAGTAAAGAGATTTTGGTCTGAAAAGCTGTGTATGATTGTATAGCTATGTTGCAGTTTGCATTTTTTTTTTTTTTGCCTTTTATGTATTTGTGTATTTTTTTCTTACATGTTATATAATAATTTAACCAAGTCATCTAAGATGTGATATGAAATGGTAGAACAACAGTTTTGAAATCTTGAAAAATAAAACTGGAAACATTTGCTTGTATTTTTTTTTCACCTCAGAGTGTTTTGTTAATGAGACATTTTATACTGCCATAAACTCAGGGCAATAATAAAGGTGTTGATTGATTTTTGGATGACAAGCGGCTTCTCTAATTGCCGAATTTGACATTTGTGTCACTTCTGTTTTAGGTGAGCAAGACGTGGAAGGTGATTGCAGAAGACGAAGTGCTCTGGTACAGGCTGTGCCAGCAGGAAGGGCACCTTCCCGAGAGCAGCATCTCTGATTATTCTTGTTGGAAGCTCATCTTCCAAGAGTGCCGAGCCAAGGAACACATGTTAAGAACCAACTGGAAGGTAGGCAGTAGCCAATATCATTACCTGTAGAAGAATAGCCTACAAGGACACAGGAATCCATGCCCTGGCTTAAATCCGGAGTCCCTCCAATTACAGCCTGAGGTTAACTGCCAAAAGCAAAGAGAGGAGTGTGGTGAGAGTCCTGTCAGCTGCTGGCGATTTGTTGCCCATTTTGTTCGCCGTTAGAGTATCTGCCCCCATTTTCAACCACACTGCTTGGGAGCATCCTGTTCTCTAGGAGCGGAGGGGTGAGATTGGGGTGTCCATCACCTCCCCTCTGACGGTTAGGATTTGGAGTGGTGCTCTGTGCAGCCTCCTTTCATTTTGGCCAACGCTGATGGACCAAGAAAGCAGAAGCGCCACCTGGATACAAAAGAGGAACTGAAAATGCTATTTCCAGTAACCATATGAGAGGGAGATTTTAAACGTCTCCAAGGACTGTCTTCTCTCCCCTCACATAACCCACTGGCTTGCTTCCATAGCATTTATCACTTCAAAATCTCTACAGAAATATTAGATCACAGCAAAGAATTTGCACAGTGGAGTGTGTCTGTGGGAAATACCTGTCAAGAACATCATTACATAAAGCTGTTTTGAGGCATGACAAGACAGCAGTGCAGTGGTGGTGCCTCTTCCCACCTGGGGGCTAGTTAGTCCCTTGTATGGAAAGGGTAGACCTGCACATACTCTCTCCACTCCTGTAAAGGTCAATCCTAATAGACTTTGAGATCCACAAGCTTTTGCTCATTACTGATGGTGATAGATTGCCTATGTGCCTGTCCTTCCCCGGTCACCTCATAACCTGATTAGTGACGGATAACTCTCAATCTGGGCAAACTCACACACTTTCTAGCAGAGTTAGAAAGGATGGCTATGCTAGTTCTCCTTGGAAAGATAGTTCTCAACCAGGGGCGGTTTTGCGCCCCCAGGGGACATTTGACACATCCGAAGACATTTGTGGTTGTCCCAACTGGGGGTAGGTAGAGAATGCTACTGGCATCTACTAGGTAGAGGTTAGGGAAGCTGTTCAATATCCTGCCACACACAGGACAGTCCTCACCAAAAAGAATTATCCGGCCCCAAACGTCACTGGTGCTGGGGTTGAGAAACCCTGAATTCAAGAAACACTGCTCTTACTTAGACCGTTACTCCACCACCACCAAATAAGAAGCACCTGGGCCCCACAGCTGTGTGCTCAGCATGTAATAAGCTCCTGCGGAGGCCCCCAGCCCTCTTGTGCTCCGTTGGGCCTGCGTGAGGGACTCAGTGAGAGGCAGCCACGAAGGTTCGACGGCGCCACTTAGACAAGCTGGGTCCGGCCCTGCAGGAGGGGCTGGAACTAAAGGAGAGCTGGCCAGTTGGGCAATAACTGGGGCCTTTGCCTCCAGAAAGGAGGGATGCTTTTGACTTGTGCGCCTGGGAGCTAGAGTGTCAGTGAACACTGGCTCGAATTCGGAGATGTCAGACCCTGAGAGCACACAGCGGCTAAGTTTCTGTTTCCTCTTCGGTGATAGAGGAAGCCATGGAGGGAGGCAGCTCCATTCTCCTCATCCGGCTGGAGGTGGCAGCAGTGAAGGCGTTCAGAGACCCACCTGCAAGCATCTGGCCCTTCATAACTGTTTGCAGGTTACATACAGTTGAACGAAATGGCTACTTGTTTTTTCTCTAACAAGCACAAAGCTGTTTGGTAAGCACTCGATAAATGGTTGTCGATTCAGTGAACTGGAGTCAGACTCTCTGGAGCGTCTCGGCCCATCTCCTGGCCCTGTTAGCAGTGAGGACTACCTAAGTGAAGTGTGAAATGACGTGTCATGCATTAACTGTAATGATGGAATTCTTACTGTGATTCTAGGAAGAAAGCCCTATCAAAGCGTGAAAAGTAGTGTTAGAGCAAGTTGCTTTCCCTTCGGATGCCCCAGTTTTCTGCTAAGTGTGGCTAACAGTAGCCCACTCATCAGGTTGTGGTGAGGGTGATGAACACGCCTCCTGCACAGCTGGCCCATGTCCAGCGTAATGACCTTTGTACAAATGATTCCAAAATCACAAAGCGCCATATAGTGGAAGACACATCTGTCCCTTGTGTGTCTCCACCCAGTGCCCTCAGGAGCGACGCTTGTCATGGCTTTTAGGGTTCCCTTCAAAAGTACCGTTTTCAGGGTGCCTGCATGGTTCAGCAGGTCAAACGTCTGCTCAGCGGGGAGCGTGCTTCTCCCTCTGCCTCTGCCTTTCCCCCAGCTTGTGTTGTCTGTCTCTCTCTCTCTCTCTCAAAAAATAATCTAAAAAAATTACTGTTTCCATGAACCTCTGACCTTGTAGTCATCTTTGTTTCCCCATCCTGATTTTTATCTTTGTATGTCCTTGCTCCTTTTATCCTCCGAGTGTTCATTAACGGTTGTTGATGGGTAAAATATCATTAAGTACCTTCTGTCCTCTGAACTGAACTTTCTAAATACATTTGATGCATTTCTTCAGGTACTCGCCACTGCCAGCCTACTGTGGGTCGTAGCTGCTCACACATTGCCTTTATATCCTGTAACCCCTCCAGCCCAGGAGCAGTGACTCCCACATCCCACGCCCCACAACCTGCCCCGCCCCGTTCAGTGCTTTTCCTGCGTGTGGTAGCGTGGAAATGCTAACACCGGGTCGTATTAGTTGTCCTCTTTGCCCTTTGGAATGCCCCAGCCACTTTGAGCACAATCGCGTGGTAGGAAATGGCCGTGGAATGTGGCGGGAAGTGAAATGCTGGCTTCCGCTGAGCGCAAGAATGCTGTAAACTGCGTTCCCTTTTCCTTACGCAGAATCGCAAAGGCGCCGTGAGTGAGCTGGAACACATCCCTGACGCGGTTTTGTGCGACGTGCACTCCCATGATGGCGTTGTCGTTGCTGGGTAAGCAAACGCAGCTTTTTACTTGATGATTAACTCTTCATCTTAAGGTCTTTCCTTTCTCATGTGCCACCCTCAGAGTCCCAGTCCCTGAGAGCTCGTACCTTCCCACGATAGCTCGGGTTTGAGATGGAAAAATCTCCATGATTCTGTTGTCAAATATTCAAGAGTCTGAAGTTAGTGCTGAGAAGCGAACGGTGTAGAGTGTAGAGCTGTAATCCATTTGTCTCAATATGTCTTTCCTAGCTTTTAAATCACTCTTGTGGCATGTTAGGTTAGAGCTTCATCAAGGCAAACAGTCTGTGTTTTATGAAGACATAAAAAAGTCAAGCAAGAATAATACGTGTTGGCACAAACAGAGCCTGTTCTTATTCTCTTGTTCTGAGGCCGTTATGAGAAAGGGCTGTGGCCACACATAATCTTTCTTCCCCCACCACACAGTACCTATTTGCTGCTTACCTTGTCCTGAAATAGGCTTTTTAGTTGTCTTCATCACCAAGAAATTTAATTTTAGCTTCTGTAAATTCCTGTGGCTTCTATTCCGAAAACCCCTTTCATCAATTCTTCCTATTTTACTAACATGGATGCAAGTACAGTTTGTGTATTTCTTTAATGTGCAATGAGAAGACCCGTTTCATCTTTGGATTGAGAAGCGGTCTTGAACTACAGTCTCATTGTATACTTAATGCCCTAAGTAGAGACCAGGAGACTTAAAACCCTGAGTCTGGATTGGCTTTGGGGTGAGCCCCCCAGGAGAGGTTCCTACCTGGAGGAAACCAAAAACAAATCTTGGCCTGAAGAGCTTGGTAGTAGGTCAGTGTTTTTCTTTAAAGAAGACTCTTTGCTTAAGAAGCATTCTTTAAAGGGCACCGTTGGAGTTAAAACTCCAAACAGATTATTTTAATGTTTTGTGATCTACAATGCCTAGAAAAAGTATTTTTGCTTTAAACTAGATATGCCCAGAAAGAACACTTCCTTAGCTTTTGTTTTGCTGGCCACAATTTAGAGGTTAATGCCCTTCTTGGGAGCGCTATAGAACCACTGTTTTTAGAAAGATGAATGGACCTGAAATCTGGAATTCATTCAGTTATCAGTGCGGTTTTAGGCTTTTGCCTCTCATTGCTAAAATGTGAGTCTAAGAGCTCATGCTACATAAGGTCCTTTCTGCCTACAAATTCTAAGACTCCGTGGTAACTCGGAAAGGACTTCTGGCCTTCCAGCTTAAAGAGGTCTCCCAGCGTGTCAGGAGGCCTTTGAGGACAGAATGTTGAGATTGGACTGAGAGTCATAAAGGAAATTAGAGATAAAGGAGACTTTAATCTCCAAAGCCAAGTATGAATTTATCTGGACACGCACCTCACAAAGGCAGGCTGGCCACGAGTCCAGATGCTAGCCCTTCTTTTCCTGCCTCCCCGTTCCCCTGAGGTCTGCTCAACATTACAGATTATGCCAGCACAACGCAAAGCGATGGCAGAGTCTTGTGGATCGATAAGATGAAACGTGATCTGTGGGTCAGAGAGGCCCCTCCCGGCTCCTCTTTCTAAGAGAATCTTATGTTTATGGCCTAGCATCGGGTACTTCAATCTTGCTTGTGTGTAGAGCATCTTGTGTTTATCATTAAAATTTTATCTGGTGGTTACGATGCTTGTTTTCTGGGTCAGATCTCGAATCCCTTTTCATTTGAGACCATGGTGTTTGTGGTTACCTCATTCCCAATCAATGTTGTATTCACCCAGCTTTCTGCAGCTATGTATCTCCAAGGAGCCGCTTACAGAGACGCTGGCCACTTCACCATCTCTCGCCCATCTACTTAGCCTGTGTTTCTCTAATTTTCCTTCTTCGTTTCCTTTTTCTCCGTTTGAAGATAGGCAGAATTTGTTCAGGGGCTTCAGTTTTATGTGCCTAGAACTAAACTGTGTAACATCTTTGCATTGAAAGCGATTAGGTTTACTTCCTATAATTGACAGCAAAGGCTATTGGAGAATCTCTTGCTTCTTCCCATCTTCTCACGCCTTTGTGTAAAAAGTTCCTAGTTTGGAGTCGCCTAGAGTAATTTTTATTACAATTAGCCTCACAGTTGACCCCGGCTTGGGTCTTCCTTACTTTTCTTCTCAAACCAGAGTAACCTTCAAATACTCATTCACTCAAGCTCACCCAAGACCCCGAGTACTCATCAACTGAGCAGGACCTGGATGATGCCTCTTATCCCAGGCTTGTGTTCCAGTGGAGGAAGCAGATATTGTTGTCAGAACTTTTGATCTCTTGCTCTTTTTCCCATGAGTCTTTGTTTCCCTTATGGTCTCATAGATGGTAACTTCTAGTTACCTTTTCCTTATGTTCTAAGCTCTTTGAAATTTGTTTCCAACCTAACTTTCTCCTGATTACTCTCCTCTGGGTACCTTTGGCTTTTCCCACAGTTCCTGATTGCCTCTGGCCACATCTCTCTCTCTCTCTCTTTTTTTTTTTAATCGAGACCTAATTCATGTACCATAAAATGTACCCTTTTAAATTGTCAGTCAGTAATTTCTAGTATATTCACAAGGCTGTGTAAGTACCACTGTCTAATCCCAGAACATTACCATCACCCCAAAAAGAAACCCAGTCCTCTTTTAAGGTCCAACTCCAGTCTTGTCTCCTCCCAGGGGTGTCTGTAGTCCCTTGGCCTATTAACCCCCACCCCAACATCTGGCCTACTTCCTAACTCCTGGAGAAGTGACTGCAGCTTATAGTGTAGCTTTGCCTTAATTAACATTTTTGTTTTCTGTTGTGGCTTTACTTTGAAATAAATCACAGCCATGTATTTTCTGTGCAGTTAATTAGTAAGCTAGAGGTGGTATATAATATGAAGCGCCCCACAGTGCTTGTACATTGTTTTGTCTGAAAGAAACATTACAATTTAATATGCAGAACCCCCTCCCACCTAGATACTGTGTGTCACATGGAAACCTGGAGAAATCCCTAATTTGTCTGGTCCTTGATTTCTTAGTCCTTTCCACTTAGAATCATGTCATCTTCAACCTGGAAGGAACCGTAGAGGTAAACTGTTCCAAAACCCTCCTTTTGCACGGCTGCCTGAGGCTCGGAGGTCTGGCGAGCTGGGAGGGACACGCGAGCACTGCACCACTCCACCATTCTTGGGCAGTGTCCGCATGGAGGGCCAGGCGGTAGGGCTGCCTTCCTGAGCCCTCGTTTGCTACTCTGACGGCTCATCTATGACAGCTTCGTTTTGGATTTTCTTTTGTGGCATACACCATTCTTTTCTGTTAAAAATGAAAAAGTGGTAGTAAAACCATGTTCTTGCAAAACCGTTGGAAAGCAGAGAAGAGAAAGTCACCTAAATCCCAGCATGCTAACACAGCTCTTGTTACAGTTTTTATGTACATAAGTTATTCATTGTTTTTTTATGCACATTTTGACATAGTCCTAACCTACCTTCTATTTTGGCCTTTATTCCTCACTAAACTGGTGAGATTTTTTTTGGTGTTATTACATGCTTTTCATTATTTTCTTTCATTTGTTACAAAAACTCCTCTGATATAATTGTATCCTAATTTTTTTATTTGTTCCCCTAGTATTGGACATTAAAGGCGTTTCCTGTGTTTTATTATTATATAATATTGTGAATATTTTACATAGAGGTTTACAGATTTTTCCCCTTTTCAGTACTGCCAATCTTTAAAAATTATAAAACACATGCTTATTGGGGCGCCTGGGTGGCTCAGTCAGTTAAGCATCTGCCTTCAGCTCAGGTCATGGATCTCAGGGTCCTGGGATAGAGCTTCTCCCTCTCCCTCTGCCTCTCCTCCTGTTCATGCGCTTTCCCTCGCTCTCTCATAAATTCAAAAAAAAATTTAAAAATCACATGCTAACTATAGAAACTTTAAATTGCATATAAATGTGTAGAATAAAGAGTCCTACGTCTTTATCCCCCAGTGTGATTATTTTTCTAGGCTAGAGTCCCATTAGTGGAATTACTGGATTTGGGGGAATGAATTTTCATATTTTCCAAATTAAGAAATTATTTTTAAAAACCCCCTTAACTTTCAACTTCCTTCCAGTCTAACTTTTTGGTTTGAAGTCTCAAAGCCATCCCTCAAGACTGCTCTCCTGAATCTACCTCCCCTCTTTCTGTCGGTGCCATAAATAACAAGAGAGGACACATTCACGTCTTAACCTTCTACAGTCTGGTTTCCATCTCAGCCCTTCCACCAAGCTACACTCTCTCTCAGGTCACCAGTGCTCACAAACCAGTGGCCTTTTCTTGGCCCATCCCCTTCCACGTCTTGGCAGTGTTGGGTCTTGTTAACTGTATCCCTCTTAAAATGGTGGAGGTGGTGCATTGGGCTTCTCTGTACCCTCGGAGCCTAACACTGGACCCAGGACTCAAACTTTGAGGAAAGTGCGTACAGAATGAAAACTCCTCACGCTTCTGAGACCCTGCACTTTGAGCCTTTTTACTGCATCTTTGACCTGCCCAGGCTCCTCCTGTGGCCTTTCTTGCCTTTCTGTGGTCTCACCTGGCCACTTAGCAGTGATGTGCAATGTTGCAGAAAACACCAGAAGCAGTTGTTGTCTTTGCTGGGTAGATAAGAAGTTCCTTCAACTGTGATGGAGTGATTCAGACACAACCTTTACTTTGTTCTTTCAGCCCAAATTTCCCACTTCTTTAACCTGAGAAAATTTTGTGTTCAGAAGACACCAATCTCCATACTGTAAACCCCCTGTCTGTCTCAGAGTTCAGCCTCCGGCTGCATTTTCTCTGTAATGAGGTAGTGCTCCTGAAATGCAGTGAGGGTCAGTATGTGCTTTTCTGAGTATTTAGAAGAGAGCTTATCTGGAAAGTTTGTTGATAATAAGTGATGTGGAAGTGTGGTTTTTGTTTTTGTTTTTGGGTGATGACAGCTCTGAGAATTTTGAAATGTTTCTCAAATTATGTTTATCATTAAAGCAAAAGAACAGAAGAGATGAGCATATGAAAATATCCCTGTCCTGTTTTGTGATGC